ATTGATATTGATATGGATAGAATGGACATAGATATTGTATAGATTCATTGATGCTATAGATATTGGTATTGCCTATAGATTGATTCTGCATGGTATTGATTGCTACAATTGATTTATTGATATGATAGATTGAGATTTATCATATCGCTTTCCCGATTGATTTTATCGACTTGATATTATAGATTTGATTTGATTCGATTTGATTTGATTGATTGATTTGACGGATTGATTTGACGGACGGATTGACTGATTTGACGGATTGATTGATTTTCTTCTGTGTATGGATTTCTTCGAGATTGACGTGGATTGATTGAGCTTGGTTTATTGATTTTCCTGCTGCTGCATTGACTGGTTTTATTGACTATGGATTTCCGTATTGCACAGATTCTTTGACCATTGACTGATATGATTTGATTGACTGACATGCATATTGATAGCATCGCCGTGCTTTGATCTCAGTTATAGGTATTAGGTGACCTGCTGGGCTTTGTAAAGCTCATTATATGTGGTTGATATTTTCAGGTCAGGGCAAGGGAGCAGAAGATAGGAATTGATCCGGATCTTCAGGTTTTTTGTCTTTTGATGATTTTGATTCTTTTGTACTTAGTATAGATTTCAGTACTGGTGATTGTAGTGTAGTTCCTGAGTATTGTACTTGACTTTTTGAGATATGAATCGACTTGTATGTTGATATTTTAAATTTTATAGATGTTTGATAGACTGTTTAATGGAAGGCTTTTAGATAACTCTTGTAAATTGTTTGAGAAATAGATTGACATTCTTTCCAAGATAGATCTTGGGGGCGTGACAGCCATAGCCTTTAAAAATACTAAAATATATAGATTTGCCCGGTGGCATAATATTAATGGGATGTAATATGTCATTCATTTCCCCGTGACAAATGATCTAGCTAAGGCATTCAATAAAATATTAGTAATCTCCTTAAGAAAATCTTAACAACCAATAAAAGGGAACAACACCAAAAAAAGATTGAAGCTTTGTACGCATATCATGCTATACATAGGACACCTGTACAATCTTCTCCATATGCACAATCATTCTGGTTAGAGGCAATCCTTCCAATGGAAGTAGAGCTTCCTTCTCTTTGAGGTGTCTTAAGTATTAAAGTCAATAATGATAAAAATACCTTATTAAGACTTGATGATCTTGATACCTAAATGAGGTCCAGTTACAAGCCCAACAAAATCTTAAAATTTATCAAACTCATACCACATAAAAAAACTTATCAAATCAAGTACTTTTGTTGCTAGAGAGCTTGTTTTGATCTTATGACACCCTAAAGCTACCCACCATCAAGAAGGTGGGAAATTTGATCGTACTTGGAAAACTTCCTTTAAAAATGAGAGGATTTATGAAGTTGTATCTTACAAATTGGTGGATGATGAAGACTCCCATCCAATGCCTCCATGAACTTCTTCCTCCCAAGCATGACATAACACATGCCACTTGAAGTACTTTCTCTCTTAAACATTCATGAAGATTTTATCAATCTCCCGAGTGAACTATGGCAAAGCCGCAAAGGTTATTGAGAGCCTCTAGCATCACACATGTGTGATTCCTTTGACCTATGAGGGCCCTATTGATGATCATGTGGTTGACGTAGTCATGATGTCAATTGCAGCAACCAATCCACCTAGGGTATTGGCTAGTCATTCCAGGACCAAGTTCTCCAAATGGGGCAAATTAGTGAGGTTGTATAAACATTCAAAGAGCCAGAGATTTCACCAACTATATATAATCATTTAGTTTATATGCACCTATGAGCTTGGATGCCCTTGCCAACATCTCAAGACAATCATTATTAGAGTCTAGAGGCTTCACTGCGATCAAATATTTAAACGTTGAGTCTTGAAATCTAATTTGACAGCTATTTTATAATATATAGTCTTGAGGAATATTAATAATAATATTTTAATAAAATATTGATGATTATTCAAAATTTAAGTAAAGTTTTGTTTGAATTTATATGATCTAAAATATGATTTAAAATAGGTATCAAAACTCTTAAATTTATGTCAAAACTCTCAAAATCAGCTGAAATTAAAAAAAAAATCATGATTTCTCAATTTATTTCAACCAACATCAAAATCTATTGAAAACTATCAAAATAAATTACCAAAATTTAAAATTCTGATTCCAATTGCTCTTTCGATGCCATGCACAAAGCCATATGGCCTGACAAAGTTATGTTGTTATGATATCAGAATGACATTTGTTTCATGATTCTGTTCCATTCTGCAAGCTAAAGCTTCTTTAGTGGTGGGGCTGCTGCAGAAAGTGAACAACAGGGAACAGAGCTTGCTGTAACCAAAGGCCACTCTCTGATTGAGAAGCCTGCATGATGCATTGCGTTGGGAGACGCGCTCACAAACAGTAACAAAACATTCTGTAAAAGAAATATTTTCTTACATCCAATTCCTTAAGTAAATTTATTCTTAATATTAATATCTAAACCTGAAGGACTCGACGATGAAGGCAGAGATCGTCGTCTTCCTTAGGAGAATTTTGATTTATCTTTAGTCTCATATCCATTTGTAACGGCTATATCTTATGATCAGAACATAATTTCGTGGACAAATACTTTCTTGCTGTTTTTTCATTAAAAAAATTTTATGATGGATAACAATAGTAGCTAAGTTATTTTCTTCATACCAACTTAACAACTAACTTCATAAAAAATGCAGTCATCCTAAATAGAGTATAAGACTTCAGTTGAGACAACATTCATTTTACTTTATTTTTCAGACTATAATTACAGTTTTTGTTGGGCTATTGTTCTTTGATGTTATTAGAAAAAAAAATTATGCTAGGAAGCTGCTTTCTACAAAAATAGGCGCCTTCTGATGATCCGATTAGGAAAGTTAAGGTATTAGATTTTACTTATGTTAAAAAAGGTAGAGGTAGATCTAAAAAGACATGGTTAGAAAATATTAAAAATGATATTTCTTTATTAAATTTAAATGAGAATTTGACTTTTAACATAATACAATGACGAAAAAAGATTCATGCAGCCGACCCCACATAAGGGGACAAAAGCTTGATTAATTGTTGTTTTATAATCATTTTTATAAAAAATTATAATCATTCCAAATGAACCCTAAGTATATATTAATCACTTTTTTTTTTCTCGCTGGAACTCCTCTTTAATTAATTTTTTGAAGCACAAAAAAAAACGGGTTCACCGGTTCTATCTAAATGGAATTGGAATCATTAATTAGCATGATTGAATTTTCTTCTAGTATGTTTCACGGATTGAAAAAGGTAGTGACACCGGATCGGAGGGGGCTCGACGAATCCACGTCGACGATCGGTGGCGGTCGCCGGACACCACTTTAACGCCTCAGCTCCGGCGTCAGGTAGAGTCATAATTTTTATTTAGTGGGCGCATTTATTAACTATTGTTAAAATATCATTAATATTTTTAAAAGAAATTTGTAACTCTAAAATTTAAAATTCTGAATGGGATAAAAATTAAATATTTTAATAAAATTATATTATAAGTAAAAATATATAATTTAATATAGATATCTTGAAATGTTGGGCAAATCCGCCCCTGTTGGTGAACTAGTTGAGCTTCAGCCTTCAGGCCATAGGAAGGAGCTGTAATAGAAGGCTGAAAAGCTCTCTTCTGGTAGCTCGAAAGAGGTAGAATTAATCAAGAGTAATTAATTAATGACAACACAAGAAATATAGAAAACATGTAAAATAATTATAGGACTCGAAAAATAAAAAACATGGATGATTTGATTAAAATTGACCAACATTTATAAGGTAAAGAGACACACTAAATATAATGTCAAAAGATGAAATATTTCAAACCTTTTTAAATGATTCATCAGATTGAGGTTTGTTGTGCCCTAAATATTCAGGACAGTAGAAAAATATAACGTTTTAATTTTGTACAAAAATTAATTACACAAATAATAGATGAAAGATAAATACATAACGTTCATAAGAGACATCATGATTTTTATGTGGAAAATCTGAAAAGAGAAAAAATCACATGGTCTGGCCCAGTTTAAATGAATTCACTAATGTTTATACTTGATTACAAATGAGATCCTTCCTTAGGGGGAAGGCCTCGACTTGATGTATCAAATAAACATTATATTGGGTGCATTACATGGTGGGAGTTGGAAGGATCGGTATTGACATGTTCATTTTGTTGGCATGACCATAATCGACAGGCAATGGAGGTTGGAAATACCGTAGTCATGTGACAATGGTCGGAAGGATCATAATTGACGGATGACGAAGGTCAGAAAGACCGTAGTCAAGTGAAGGTACTCGAAAAGATCGTAATTTGACGACGGAGGTCGGAAGAATGATAGTTGACGGGTGACGACGATCAAAATGATTGTAAGTCAGGCAACAAAGGTAAAAAAATTAGTAGTCGGACAACGGTGATCAGAATGGCCATAGTCAAGCGACAACTATCGTAAAGGTCGTAGTCGGGTAACAATGGTTATAAGGATCTTAGTCGGGCGACGGTAGTCGAAAAGACCATAGTTATGTGACGATGGTCGGAATGACCATAATTAGGCAACAGATGTCAAGACCGTATCGTAGTCGGTGACGATGGTCAGGAGGAAATCAAACAACAATCGATGGTCGGACATAAGTCTGATGACACTTGCTAGCCTGGCGAAAGTTCAAAGACAATTGGTGGCTGGGTGTAAATCCGACATAAGTTGGTGAATCCTAGAGGCAACAATACAAATTGAAATGAGATCGGAGACAACAATACAATATAATTGATCAACACATTCCATCACACAAAACTAATTCAATTTGAAGTGTTATAATTATAAATAATAAAATATTTATAATTTTAATACTATAATTTATATTTATAGATTTCTATTGCTAATAAACACTTTTAAAAAAATGGTGATGAAATTTATTTCATAACAAATTTTATAAGCACTGAAATTTCTAATACGATATCAGTACACTGATCTTACCACGTCCAGCGTTCCACAATCCTCGTCATGAACACACTTCAGATACCTGCAGAGTGCAGCTTACCAAAAATCTCATTCACAAGAACAAATAGGATTACTCGAAGTAATAACCAGATAGACGTTAGATACCCGAAATGCAAATTTTTGAATCCATTCCGTCCGTTACCAGAAGGAACCATAAACAGAAATATGCATGAGAATCCTGACATAAGCATGAATCTGAACAAGATAAAGCTCTATCTTCTTCAATACAATCTTAGCATGCTACCTGTTAAGGAATGAGTACTGCTATACTTCTTTCTCCTCCTGCTACCTTTCATCGCAGGCAAGTAAAATCTCAGTAATCCATTATCAACATGCCTTGGAGAATACCTCGAACTTGGATTCCTTTCCAGTACAAATTCCTCCCTCTTCTTCTTTTTCTTCCTGTTTCCATTGCTCTCGACTCCATTCCTTCTCGAACTCCCAAATCCGCCATGTCCATTGAACGAACTCCTCGAGCTCACAGTACTATTGCTTCTGCAAATCTTTCTATTATACATATCTGTTCCTAGCTCCGGCCAAGTCTCCGAGAAGGATGTCTCCACCCCATTGCCTCTGGTATTGCTAGTTCCTCCTCGCCGGTTAATGAACCCCAAAAAACTCCAGGCTTTGCTCCAGCGCCGTGACTTCTTCGCAGGTGGAACCTTTGATTGATGTCTGAATGATATGTCGATGTTCTCGGAACATTCATCCCTTAGTGAATTTGAGCTCCACTCTCGAGAATCTCGCTCGTGCTTTCCGGCATGGTAAGTCTGCACCAGCTCGGCGCTTACCGTAGGTGATCCTTTGACATTGGAATTGGCTGCCGGGATCGACAACTTCATCTCGAAGGATTGCTTTTGCGTAGAATTAGAGCGTTCGAGGCTCTTTCGTCCGCGGGAATGAGAGCCCTCATAGTAATCCCTCGTCTGCGAGGATCCGCCAGGAACCGCTAAATCTTCTTCAACAGGGATTAGACCGTCGAAGCGCTGCACAGCAGGAACAGGGAAGTCCTCTGCGACGGCGAGCATTGGGGGCAGGCGAGGAAGCAGTGACCGGCCTCCGCTGCCGCCGATGAGGTAGCCATCCCAAGAAGCCCTAGGCTCGTCCCAGGAGTGCCGAGGGTCGTCGAAGGAGAAGCGGGTGGCATCGAGGGAGAACCTAGGGTTAATGTCGCAGGATCGCCGGCCAAATGCATCAATAGCGATTTCCGACTGCGTGTCGCAAACTCGTTGCGACGAGTTTCCGGCCTTTTCCAGCTGCATTTCGGAAGGAGGCTTCTTCTTGAGCTTCTGCTTTCTCCTCCATTCTTGGAGTTTCTTGCTAAAGACGGAAGCGGCCAGCCAGAAGCTTCCGGCAAACTCCTTGGCGTCTTTGGGGGAAATCTTCTTCGCTTGCGAGTCAAAAACAATGTGGTCCTTTATAGGCTTCAAATCGACCGCCGGCGTCTCAGTATCTTCGTCCATCTCGTCGGTGGCCGACATAATCTCGTCGCTATCCTCTCGCCCCTCTACGTCAGGCACTGGAAAATTAGGGCATTCTTCGACGATATCAACTTCGGGACGATCCTCATCATCCTGGTGGAAGAGAGACAGCAGCGTGTTCCTGGCTCTTACATCGCAGGACTTGCGTTGGGGCTCACACGCTGCGGCGAAGCCAGGGATCCGAGATACAGAAAATGACTTGCTGCGGCGGAGCTCCGGTCGGCCGTATGAGGAAGAGCGTAGATTGAAGTTCGCATTGGAAGCTTGCACGCCAGAGGAGCGGGAAAATACCGACTTGAGAGCGGAGGAAGTGGACTTTCGCGGGACATCGGCTGCGGCGGCGCTGGCTGCTTCTGCCGCGGCTTCGAGGCCGGCAAGCCGTTCTCGAAGACAAGAAGCGCAGAAGCCAATAACGGGTTCGTTGGGGTGGCGGTCGCATGCGGTGGGCGGTCGGCTTCGGTGTATTGGCGCTGCCGGAGGCTGCAGCGCCCAACTACCGATTTCCGTGCTCATGATCGCGGCAGTAACTCCGGCGGGTCACTGCTTACTCTGGTTCTCGTGTAAAACGTGAAGTTTTACAAAAAACCCCCCCGTCTTTTCCAATATTTCTACAGGAATAGAATGGCCTCAGGAAAATGTCTTTGCTTTCACATATTCGAGAATGACGGCGACGACGAGAGCTACTATGGGCTTACGAGGAAGGGAGGAAGTAGCGAGAGCTGTAAATTGTTGGAAGAGAGTAAAGACCGGGAGAAGCAGGGGGACGAAAGCCGGATGTTTTTGTAAATTGTTAAAAAATTGATAGAAATATGAAAATAAAAATAGGGGACTGATGAAGGTCTGTGAGGCCTGAGCATCAGAAGGAAAAGCAAAAGCGAGTAATCACGCTTCTGAGACCCACTGTGCTCTCTCTCTCTCTCTTCTTTCACTTTTACCTTTCTCTTTCACCAATGTTTTTATGGCTTTCTCATTTCTTTGAACTCAAAGAGTGAAATGAGAAATTATTAGGTTAATGGTCAATACTTCAAATTACCGAATAATATTAAGCTCTGTGCTGTAAAGTACTGAGTTCGATAATTCACAGTACCGAGAAGTACTAATACCGAGTAGAGGGTGATGTGACATATTTTCATTGGGCTCTCTTCAGTAACCTTTGCGGCTTTGCCACTTCGCTCATTTCTTGAGAAATTATTTTGTGTTGAATTTCATAATGCCCTATCTGAGTATTTCTAAGTAAATGGTGACATGGCGTATTATGATTGATCTCCGGACGACGCTGGACGTCCACACAAAATAATTAATCTATTTGAGGAAAGTTTTCAATTTTTTTATTTTTTATCAATTTTTATTGATTTTTAATACATATATTGAGCTTTGAAATTTCATTAAATTTAATTTATTTAACTTAGGCGGAAGAGAATAAAAATAACAAAAAAAAAATTAAGGCTTCAATAATCTTGCTTTAGTTGCACAAGTAATGAATTTTTTAATTTTTATAAAATACATCAATGCGTCACACGTATTGCTGATATTAATATGTTTTAACGATATTATTAATATTATTTTTGGCAGAAGCAGCGTTTATTGATCATTAAAGTTCCGTTTTTAAGTGAAATTATAGATCTAACTGGGGCTGGTAAAATATCACTTTTATTTTTTACTTTTTTTATTTTAAAAACAAATTTTGTAGCACATTTTTTAATGTTTAGTTTAAAAATAAATAAAATACTTTTTAAATATTTAAAATAATTTTTAATAATAAATATCACCACTAATTACCATCACTGTCAAGAACCATTAAGGATTTAAGGGCATCATCACTTTAACAATTCCTATTGATGTTCCCTGACAACCTATAAATAGATTAAATTAAATTTTTTAAAAATCTCAAATATATTTTATTTTTTTATTAAATTTATTTTTTTTATTAAATATAAATAAAATAAAATAAAATAAAAAATAATAAAGTGAGCCCAACTGTCTCATTATTTTTTTCCCAAAGTAACCCATGCATGTCTTTCAACTTTTTTTTTATTCATTATTATAGAGAGAAGAAGATATAAAATAAAGTTAGTGAGAAAATGTTTTTTTCTTCTTTCTTAGAACGAGATATTCACCCGCTGTCATTTTTAAAAGGGCGCTTGGCAACATGATTAAACTCGACTAATCTAAAAGAGGCACCCAAAAAACTTCCTAACCCGCACTTGATTAGACCACACTTAAGAGACACTGCCTCTCAACGGGAATCTAGCACAGGTTGGGGGATTCCCAGTCGTACTCGCCCACCAACCAGGCTAAGCATCGATGGCGGATATAGCTTTATTGTTTACTTTCATATCACAATGTTTAGGGATTTTTTCTAAAGTTTGATATCATGCTGAAATTTTTATAGCCTTAGAACTTAGACTCTCACCTCCTAGTGGCATATTTGATGACTAGCACTGTAAATAAGTCAAGCAAGCTTAGTGTTTGTCCATGTTTGAGGAGTAGGCATCATAACTTAGAACTTGGGAGTTGATATTATTCTTATTGAAAAATGAGGCATATTTGACATTCTAACAAAAAGATAGCATAAGCTCCCTCAAATCATTATGATTGCATCAAACAATAAAGTCTCTTCTCACAGTAGAATAATCTTGACATTATTAGGGTTCAAGGGAATAAAACCTTGCATCATAAGCTCCCTTCATCTAGCAAGTCGACGATTTTGCTAGTGAATTCGATGACTTCAAGCATCAAATTAATGATTTTAAACAATCAATTAGGGTTGGTCTGGGACGGCTTTTTTACCGATTATTAAAACAGTTTTTTAGTTAAAAAATTTTTAATTTTTATAGTAAAAAGTTGATTTAAGAAAAAGTAAAAAAGTTATCCCAAACGAATGACTTTGATTAGCAAGTTGACAAATCCACTGCCTAGTAGGTGACTTTTTTCATCATGCTGGCAAACTCGCTTTCTTTCATTTTACCTTGAGAGTCTTACTATTAAACTTGGGCCATCAGCTATACAATAACAACATCATCATCAAGACTTTGTCCCACTATGTGGGGTCTATGGGCGGATCCCAATATAGCCGAGAGTGCCCACCCTAAAAAAAAAAAAAAATTATATAGAGGTTAATTTGGAATTTTGACCCCCCTAAAATAATTATTTTGCCTATTAAAAAGTTAATGTACTTAATTTCTAATTTGTACAAAATATGAGTGAAATTTTATCCAATAGAAAAAGAAGTGTCTTATCATCTTATGATTTATATGTTCAGTTTAAAAGTAATTCTAAGAAATAAGAGAAACAAATTTGTAATTCTTATACAAATAAATCTTATTTTTTGTTGGCTATTTTTAATCATTTTTTATTGCATTGCTATGAAATTGAATTATTTTTTATTGATTTATGATTTGTGCAGGTGCAATTATTAAATCCATTAAATATTATGCATACTTTATGATTTAATTATCTTTTTTTTTCTTAAGTTAGATAACATTAAGCTCATTTATTATTCTTTTTCTCTAAGTTAGGGTTTAGCTTCAGCATAACATATATGATTATACTCCAACTTATATTTTTATTAAAATCAATATTAAATTGGAAGATAAATGATAAAATTTCCTCTTATAAATTTGATAGCGTTATGATGGTTACTTTTTTTAAAAAAAATTATTTTATTATTATCACTATTTGATATTATTATTATTATTATTATTATTTTGTTATTATTGTTGTTGTTGTTCAGAGAGATGGTGAAATAGATAGGGATATTATCAGCAGAATTCGATTGTTGTTGTTGTTGTTGTCTAATTAATTAAAATTTTGCCCACCCTGAAAAATGAAGTTAGATCCGGTGGGGCCGGCTATATGAATAATTTTTTTCATTGTGTCATATTAAAAGCCAAATTCTCATTTAAATCTAATAAAGAAATAGCATTTCTAATATTTTCTAACCAAGTCTTTTTGGGCATATCTCTACCTTTTTTAACATAAGCAAAATCTATACTTCTACTTTCCTAACTGGGTCAACAAAAGGTCGTCGTTTTATGTGACCAAACCTTCTAAGGCGACCCTCTCTAATCTTATCTTCCACTGGAGCTACTCCAACCTTTTCACATATATGCTCATTTCGTATCCTATCTCTAAAGGTAAAGCCACTCATCCAATAAACATAATAGCAATATAGAATAAAGTCAAAGATGAATTGAAAAAAAAAATACCTCGCCAAAATAATGGAGAGTTGTAAATCAAAAGAGTAATCGAATTAAAGAAGTGAGAGAGAAGGGAAAGAAAATGATAGATAAAATGAGTTGGTATCTATCTTTTTTGTATTTATTTAATTATTCATACATAGAATCGAGAAATTATTTTGTGTGGAGGCCGAACGTAGCTCTACATCCAGAGGCAAATCAGGTGCATCCACGTCAGCGGTATTGAGCCGTGGTACCGAGCAGTACCGAGCGAAGGGGTGACGTGACACATTATGATTGGTCTCCGGACCGCATTCGACGTCTGTACCGAATGACAGGAAAAATAAAAAAAAATAAAAATCTGTGTATGAAATCTAGGAGATTTTTCCTCTTTTTTTTTAGTGAAAACTGCTGGTTGCTGTTCACAAGAAGATTGTCATCACTCTCCTCAAAACTCCAACACAGCCTCTTCTTTTGGCCAAAGACAATACAAAAGCATCAGCATAAAAGTAAAGAGCTTGGCCATGATTATCATAGCATGTGACTCAAAATATCTGTGCATCTTTTCTTTTTGAGGGAACTTTCTCTCAAACAACAAACTAAACAAAGGCTTACCTTGTTCAAAAAGCCCTATATTGGGTGACTATGAACTCTTGGGGGCTGTTCAATATCCTATAATTCTAAGCAAAGTAGTTCAAATCCTGCCAAATAGAATTTTTAAGAACTTTCAATTTTAATATTTTCATAAATCTCATGTATTAAATTTAGAATTTGTTAAATCTAATTAATTATTCACAGTTATTAAAGAGTTTAAGAATTTTTCTAAAATAAATAGAGAAATAAATTTTCAAATTTAATAACATTTAATGATTAATGTTCTATAAATCAAATACTTATTTATTGCTATAAAAAAGTCCATGTATCATGTCACTATCGCTAATGACTAAGGGTGTGAGTGAGTGAAGCGGACTCATGAGCTAGTTTAAGCTCAATTTAATAAATAGCTCGTGAGTTGAGCCCAATGAGCTAGCTAGTTAAGTTTGAGTCAGTTTTAACTCGACTCATTAGCTCATGAATTAGCTAGTTTAAAAAATATTAATATAAAATGCACTTATAATATTAGCATTCAACATTTTAAGTACAAAATTATTATAAAAACATTTAAAAATTACATATCACTTTCTTATTAAATTATTATTTATTATTTTTTTACCATTTTATTATAACAATTTCTTAAGGCTTCGTTTGGAAAGGCTTTCTTAATGTTTATATCAAAATTTTAAATTATGTACTAAAAAGCTGCATTAAAAAGCAGTAAATAAGCCATCCAAAACGAAGCCTAAATCACGTGTTGGCTCAAACTCGTTGAATAAATCTTGAGCTTTGATTTGAACTTAATTAATCAAGCACAAGCTTAAATAAGATTCGACTTAAGCTCGACTCGATTATACTCGTTTGCCTAATGGCAATAAGAATTTAAATTAACTGGATATTTTATTTTCCAATAGCGTTAAGTGGCAGAAGAAGAGGGGGCAGTCTGTGGATTGAAGGAGGAGGTCAGGCTCGTTATAAGAGGAAAGTGAAAGATAAAG